AGATGAATGAAGGGATTGCGGGTAGTTTAAGTATTGACATTCATGCACATGAAACCTCACTTCTACAAACACACACAAACAAAGCGATAAACACACGTTGAATGGACAATGACAAAAAGGAAAATAAGCCAAATAAATGAGTGAAAAGGAGGAGGATAAGAGCAGTTGGCGACAGGAGAATTCAATCAAAGTAATCCCCTCCTCTTCTTGCTCCCATTTTCAATATTATTATTATTATTATTATTATTATTATTATTATTATTATTATTATTATTATTATTTGGTTATTTGGTTCTTTGCTTTTATATACACATAAATATATAAATATATATAAATATATAAATATATAAATATATATAAATATATATGCACATATGTGTTTTTGTTTTTGGTTTCATCCGTAATAAAATTTTTTTTCTCTTTTATATTCACATCTCTCTTGTGTGTTGCAGGCAAAATACATACACGCATTTCCTCCCTTCCTCCCTTCCTCCCTCAGCGTACATGTGTCGTCTGCTACATCCGTGAAATGACGTCTGAACGGGCGACAAGACATCCACTCGCCCTTCATCCAAATATGCACTAAAAATATTCACAGTTGGATGAGAAGTAAACCAACAAAAAATAAAAATAAAACATATAAAATCAACACACGCGTGTCCTTCTCAATCACAGAAGAAAAGCCAAAAAAGAAAACAAAAACAAAAACAAAAACAAAACAGAAGTGTTGTTATAAACGTCAAAAAGGGCAGCTAACGTCATAGGCCCGGAAAACAACAACAACAACTAGTGGCAGAATCATTCCATCAGCTTGCATGGGCACAATAAACGCCCCCTTTGTTGTCTGGGAAGAAACACCTAGAAAAAAAAAAAAAAAGTCTCAAAACAGAAAAAAGGGGTTACAATCAGCACCAAAAACTCTGAACTTAAACAAAAATCTTTCCCCTCATCCTGCAGGCAAAAAGTGCAGTTGCAATGCTCACCTCGCCCCACAAACACACACACACAAAAAAAAAAAAGTACTCTAATCGGAAACGTCATTCTCTTCAAACTTCAGAAGTCATAAATTCTACATTTGCCTTCCCTGCATCACACGTCGCTGCACACTAGATTGCGGCATACCGCCAAAAGATGGCCGACGCTGCATGCCTCCTTGTCCCTGAACGGGCATGCCATCACGACCGCCAAACGATGGCTGACGCTGCATGCCTCCTTGTCCCTGAACGGGCATGCCACCACGACCGCCAAACGATGGTTGACGCTGCATGCCTCCTTGTCCCTGAACGGGCATGCCATCATGACCGCCAAACGATGGCTGACGCTGCATACTTCCTTGTCCCTGAACGGGCATGCCACCACGACCGCCAAACGATGGTTGACGCTGCATGCCTCCTTGTCCCTGAACAGGCATGCCACCACGACCGCCAAACGATGGCTGACGCTGCATGCCTCCTTGTCCCTGAACGGGCATGCCACCACGACCGCCAAACGATGGCTGACGCTGCATGCCTCCTTGTCCCTGAACGGGCATGCCACCACGACCGCCAAACGATGGCTGACGCTGCATGCCTCCTTGTCCCTGAACAGGCATGCCACCACGACCGCCAAACGATGGCTGACGCTGCATGCCTCCTTGTCCCTGAACGGGCATGCCACCACGACCGCCAAACGATGGCTGACGCTGCATGCCTCCTTGTCCCTGAACGGGCATGCCACCACGACCGCCAAACGATGGCTGACGCTGCATGCCATTTGGTTGCTGCCTGCTTCCGTCCATATTGAGGGACTGCGTAGCTTGTTTATTAAAAGCCAAGGAATTCTTAATTGGGGATAACGGATATTGAGGTGATCCATTTTGTCGCAAATTTCCTCCTGAAGGCTTTTTCCGGCGCAAAAAGTACACGAGAGTGATGATAATTCCCATAAGAGCCAAACACCCCAAAACAATAACTGCAATCGTCCACGTAGGCAACCCATGCGATTTGTCAGTATTCGTCCCACTGGGCGTAGGTGCTTCAGTGCTCATTATTCCCGCTTCTTTTTGATCAAATAGACCCTTGCTGTCCTCTTATCGATACTCCTCCTTCCCCCTACCCCCAAAAAAGAAGGTTGTGTAAAAAATAATGTCTCCTGTTTTCAGCTAGCATTGTATATGCAAAAAATAAAAATAAAGAAATCAGATGACACACACACACACACGCAAAAGGTTCAGAACAACAACAGCAACAAAAGAATCTTTCAAAAAAAAAAAAAAAAAAAGACTTCCCCACACAACAGCCACGCCAGATCAAACAAACAAATGTGCTACACATGAATATCCCAACGCTTGGTGTTCCAGGGGAAAGAGCATGCGGTTCTGTAATAGAACATCTTCCTTCCTTTTACAATGATATGAAGAAGAGACGGCGCAAATATAGTTGCCAAAGGACAATCCGACAAAAAAGATAGCCTCTTCCTCTCTTTCCTCCGGAAGGCTTCGTTCACTCGTAGCAGTACCTATCCATGGGGGTAAGCTCTGTAATGACACCCCGGACAAACAAGTTAGGGTCTTTAAAGCGTTCTGTAGCCTTGGGCACACGCATCACGCGCTGACGCCAGTGTGGCTCCAGTAGCAAATCCATCTCGGACCTGTAGTGCTCATTTTTTTCCACCATCTGTGATGTCATACCTCGAGCGGCCAGTGCCCTTCGCATTTGACTGCTTCGGTACACCTTCTGAATGTCCGGCTCCACTTCCAGCCATTTGTACTTGGGATTAATACGGCTCTCCCGTATTGTCATCACTCCCTTTGTCGTGGCATACAGAGTAAAGGTGTTTGGGTCCAAGCGGACATTTTTTCCTGGACGATACTCCGGCAACCGCGAGTGACGATCTTGGCCGTATCGACGTCGTTGCTCCTTCAACTTCTCCATGGGCGTTACCGGGGTGCCGGGTATGACGTGGAATAGTTTTGCTTTGCGACGGGGGTGTCCCGCCTGATTTTTCGCATTTCCCGCAGTGACTTTGCTCGCGAGTCGAAGAGGCAAAAGACGCAACATTTGCGGTCCACCCCTTCTCTACAGTGCCCAAAATTGCGATATCAAAGACACCCACACCGTGAAGTAAAGAAAAGAGCAAAAGAAAAAAAAAAATAATAATAAAATAATAATAAAAAAGAATATATTTATTTATATTTAATTCCAAAACTGTGTGGCCTGAACCACCACAAGATTGACAGAAGCGCTCATATGCACACATGCGGGGGGAAATGTTGCACTTCCTTTTTTTCCCTTTTCTTTTTCTTTTTTCGTTCCTATTTTCTCTTTATTCCGTCTATTGGCAGACTCAACCCCCTTTTTTCTTGCACCCTCCGTCCCGTCGCTCGTACTCACGTGCGGCACCGCACCGCAGCAAAAAACAACAACACACGCCACATATTTAAGTCCTATTTCTCTCTCTCTCACTCTCTCCTTTTCTGTGGATTGCAATGGCCCTCCGTTCAACATAACTTCTCGTGAAATCAACGCTCTGTTCGAGGGACGGCTATCATGTGCTCCTCGAACAAACAAACAAACAAACAAACAACAACAACATAAAATAAAAATAAAAAAAAAACATAAAATAAAAAAAAAAACAAAAAAAAAAAAAAAAAAAGAAAAAAAAAAAAGGAAAAAAACACTTGACTCACCCAGTCTTAAATGCCAAAAAAAAAAAAAAAAAAAAAATATTATTATTTTTTTTTTTACACTAATTTTTCTTTTTTTCCATTTCTTATTATTGTTATTATTATTTTTATTTTTTTTGTTGTTGTTATTTTTATTATTTTTGGGTATTTTCTCAAAAAAAGGGGGATCATTCCGTTTTTATTATTGTTTGCTCTTCGCAATCAATACATTTATATGGATGTATGCGAAAGTGAATCCGTATTTTTGTATCCACGTTTCCTCATTCTCAATTACAAAGAAATTAAACATTGATATATATATCCATATTGTTTTTTTATTATTATTATTATATATAAAAATATAAATAAAGAAATGCTTGGGGCAATTTAGGCTAAAAGAAAAAGTGTCTGCTGTTTTTTTCCTTTCTGTCCCTTTGCCCTTCACATTATGACTTTATTGCACGCAAATACATGCAACATTGGCCTTCCCCACTTCGGCTCTCCGCTTTTCCTTCGCTTTTTCCACCCTGCATTACACAGAAACACCTCCGCCCCACTTGCACTCCCTGAGAAACATTGTGTAAGAGGGATGGATGGATGTATCTTCATTACCAGCCATACCATCTTAGGGAATGAACAAGACCACAACGATGGCAATAAGTGAGGCAAAGGATGCACCACCCAGCAGCGCGATTCCCATAAGCTGCCCAGCCATTACCCTCTCCCCATCCGTCTTCAGCTCCGGTGTGCCGGGACCGTACACCATGGTCAGTGCCCCAAGGTAGTTTGTCAGGCCAATAGTGAACATGAAAATGCACGGCGCCACGTGGCCAGGGATTTGGTGAAAGACACAGAGAAAGATTAATGGAATGTACAGAAAGCGGACAAATGATAAATATAGCGTTTTGCGGCGAGAAATCCAGAGCTTTCGGAAGGAAGTCAAAAAACGGCCCAAGGCGTCACCACCATTGTAACAAAGAATGGCGATGGTGGCAAACCACTCGTCGTCACGGCCAATGGGAATCACCAGGCTGGGGAAGATAATAAGTGACAAGAAGAAGACGCAAAAACATGCAATCTGCATGGGGTAAATTTTCTTGATCACTGGAAAAACGGGTGTTGTCAGCAGTTGCTCTGAAGTTGTCATTTCGGACTGAACAATTACCGGTGCGCCATTTTCATTCCTGCAGGAAAGGTTTTCACCGGCTGCCTTACCGCTGTCCGCATCCTTTTCAACCGCCTTGTCGATGGGTTCAACATTGCCGTACGCCGTGGCTTCTGCACTTGGAGTTTCTCCATCCGTCGCGCGTTTCAGCATGCGGTACTCAGCAACGTGTTTCTGCGCAAAGGAGTTGTACCGCAGCGACAATGCCATAAGAAGCGCAGCGAACATGATTCCCAGCGCAAGTGAGAAGTAAATGTACGCCTGTGCAAGTACCGAATCATACGTGTTTTCCATCAATGCCTTAATGATGCACTGCATCGTCGACGCAATCAGTCCCGAGAAGCCACAACCAAACATAATAGCTGACATAAACTTTGGGGGCATTGTTCCAGCCAGCGCGTAGCACGTAGCCTCCAAGTACGACTTGCCCGCACCTGCCACAATGCTGACAATAATAAACGCGACGATGGCAGAATTCTGTGAGACCTTTCCCGTGGGCAGCAAAAGAACCACAATAACCTCCACCATCATACATGTGAGTGCAAAAATAAAGCGATTGCTGAGGGAAAATTTTCTCGCCAAATGGGTCAACACGGTGGGTCCAAATATAATTTGCGTCACCAACGACACAACGTTGTAGAAGGTGAAAATGTTGGCCCAAAATATTGGCACGTTTGCCTTCGCATGGGGGTCCCCTGAGACGTAGCGGTAGTAATCCACCATGTATCGAGGTGCAGATGTCAGGGCGTTCATTGGCATCAACATGGAGACGCCCAAAGTAATGCATGTCGTATAAACGTAGAACTCCGCCCAAGAAGAAAATCCAAGTGCCATCGTGAAGTCGGTCACAAACAGGGCAATCAAATAACGATTACAGAAGGAAAAAAAAAAAAAAAAAAAACAAGAGGTATTATGCGCTTCTTGGCGTCTAGCTGTACAGTAACAAAGGAAGCCCTACCTATCCACTCCTGTAAAGTATATTCCCTCGTGTGTGTGTGCGTATATATATATATTTCAGTGTAGTGTGTTGATTACAAACGACAACGGGAAACAAAAACGAAAAAAAAAAAGGTAAATGCAAAAATTAAAAACACAAATACTGCAACTTCATTGTGTGCGCGACGACACGAACGTACAAACCGTCAAGAAGAGAAGCATCTTGAAAACATGCACAGAAAAGTTCACAAATGCAAAAAAAGAAAAATAATCAGAAAAATAAAAATAAAAACAAAGTTGCTCTGCACCTATTTTCGTGCCTTGCGTACGCCGCGAGTCTGCATGTTCTTGCGTGCCTCAGCAGCGATAAGCTTCTCCTCACGCTCCTGAATCACGTTGATGCGGAGACCCTGTTGCTTCGGCAGCGTCACAGGAACGCTCTGCATGTCCTTGCCAATCACAAAAATGTTGGACGCCCGAGTAGCAAACTCGTGTCCCGCCGCATCCTTCAGGCGTGCAATGTCGAACGCACCAGGGTGGCGCTCAATCGACATGATCTCGCCAATACGGCCGCGGTTCGCGCCGCCGGTGACCATCACCACCTTGCCGTTGCTGGACTTGATGAGGTCCACCACCTTCTTCTCCTTCAGGTTGTACACCAGGGTGTCGCCACGGTGGGTGCGGGGGTCGGGGTAACGAATGCGGTGACCGTCGTGTGTCATGGCAACAGGAATGCGGCCAGTGCTCGTGTAGACGTTCTCCACCTTCAGGAGCTTGATGTTCCCCTCAGCCTCGCCAACCTTCACGAGGGCAAAGCGGCCCTTCACGTCGTACAGAATGCGGAAGCGATCCCCGGTCCGTGGGATCTCCACAACGTCCATGAAGCCAACCGGATACTTGGTGTCCTTGCGGGGCTTACCGTCCACGCACACAAGGCCCTGGCGGAGAATCATCTGAGCCTCGGCGGCGTTCAGCGCATACTTCAGACGATTGCGGATGATGATCATAAGAGTCATACACTCACGCAGCTTGTGGGGCCCAGCACGGGGACGTGGAGCAAACACGCCCGTGAGCTTGCTCAGCATCCAGTCCTTGGGGGCATAAAGGCGCTTCAGGTGCTTCTTGGTCATAATGACAAAGAGCTGCAACTCACTATCAGATAAAGAAAAGTAAACGTAAAACAACAACCAAAAAAAAAAAAAAAAAAAAAAAAAAAGAAAAAGAGTGCTAATG